CAGCAGGACAAAGGGCAAAGAACAGAATATCTGTCAGGAGAGGGGCATGGACATTACCTACCAGCCATTCACCTAATGCCATCATTTGTCTGGTACAGCAACCCTGAAAGGTGCGCGTTGTTTTTCCTTCCTTGGGTCCTGTGTCCAGGATCATGTGGCCAGAAAGTGACAGATTGGGGTTATGTTCCCTTTAGGTGCAGGTGAGCGGAGGTGTTCTCATATCCCTAGAGGGGTTTCCACCCCTGGATAGAATTCAAAGAAAAGACAAAATTGTACACTAGTTAGAGTCTTTCAGGAAGGATCCCCCATTCACTGGGAGACAAGGAAGGAAATTAGATCAGACCTCACACACCCTTTGGGGGTTCAGTGTCAGGAGGGGAGGGAGAAGACAGAGGGATGAGAAGGAGGCCAACCACCCCCCAAAGAAGCCCACAGCTCTGATGCTGATGGGCCATCGCAACTAGTAAGCAAGACTTTGAAGACGATGGTTGAAAACAGCCCAACAAAGTGGAGGCAATCCAAATGTCCATCTGCAGGAAAATGGGAAGGCAAAATGTGGCCCATCCATACAGTGGAATACTATTCAAACTTGAAAAAGAAGAAAATTCTGATACATATGACAATATGACTAGAATAATCAAATCAGAGACAGAAAGAATGCTTATTGCCAAGGGCTGGGGAAAGGAAGATACTGTGGTTCTGTTTAGTGGAGACGGACTTTTAGTTCGGGAAGGTGAGCAAGTTCTAAAGACAGATGGTGGAGATAGCTATGCAATAACATAAATGTTCTTTTTAAAAAATATAATTATGTAATTTTATTTATTTATTATTATTTTATTTGACCAGATAGAGAGAGAAGGAAAGTGAGAAAACAAGCTGCTAGGTCCAGGACTCAGCAATGTGGGAGTCAAGTGCTCTAATCACCACATTACCTGCCAACCCCCAACCTTAGTGTTCTTTTAAAAAAAAAATTAGAATTTTTTATTTATTTAACTTTATTTGTTGTTATTATTTTTAATTTGACCAGAGAGAGAGAGAGAGAAAGGGAGAGAGAGAAAGCACGCTGCCAGGTCCAGGACCTAAACCATGGTCGGCCATGTGGGAATCCAGCACCTTAACCATCACATCACCTGCAGGCCCCTGTTCTTTTTTAAAAAACAAAAACAAAAACAAACAGGCTGGCAGTGGTTGGGCTGTCTACTCTTCAGAAGGCTTGATTCCCAGCCCTACTCACACATCACCCTCCACCCTCACAATGGCCTGGAGGTGTGTGTGGTTGCTCTGTCCCCAAAAGAAGAAACAGAGGCTCCAACAGGAGTGACCAGCTTGAGTGCACTGCCAGACTGTGGTGGAAACAAGTACAGGAGCAGACAGCTTGCTCCTGGACCTAATGTCCATCCCGCTACCTCCTGAGCAAGCTGGGGAACTAGTCACCAGTTCAGTTCATTTCCAGTTGTCCATACCATAGGAGAAGAAAGACTTACACTTAGAAATTAGGTTGCTATTTAGAAAATAAAGTTTTATTTAACATGGTATATAGTGGAACCAGGAGAAGCTTCTAGGAGGTAGTGGTAGCTGGGCCGGCACTTGAAACACAGGTGGGATTGTACTTTATTTTAAGCATTGTAACAATTACACTACTAATGTCTAGCCACTAGAGAAAAATAAAAAGGCAGATTAGCAAAAGCAGATAAAGTTTTAACACCCTGAAATTCCTTCACTCAGGAAAAATTACTGTTAATATTTCAGGTTACATTCCTGAAAGTTTTTTTCTCCCTGTGTTTCAGGGACATAAGTATGGCAATAAGTATATATCTATACCATCATGTTCGCTGTCATCATCATTCCACTGATGGAGCAAAAAAACTTCATATATCAACTCTTAGTTGGTGGAAATAGGTTGTAGGGAGTTCTCTGCTCAGGACCTAGGCACAGAGCCCCTGGACACTGTGTGTGGTATCAGGCCTGGACTTCTGATACAGCCTTTCTAAAATAGCCACAAAAGCCTCCGGGTTAAGATGGCAGATTAAATACACACATTTAATAGTGCTCCCTCTGCCAGCCCCACTCCAACCACAATAAAGAGATCTTAAATGGCATTTATCCATAAGGGTGGGGAGGACACAGTAACCGCAAATTTTTGAAAGCTAAATTGCAAATGGATTGATGATAACTAAGTCACAGACTAGGAAAGACAATTCTAAGGGAGAGCATGAAGGTGAATTTTTACTAGATTAATTTTTTTAAAAGAGCACCCCAAAACTCAGGATTGGCCATAAGAGTACCCCTGGGACTGGGAGTACAGAGGTGGCTATGGTCAGAAAGGCTAGAGGGAAAGGGAGCTGTGAACAAGTTAGGTTCCTGGATTCCCTCCTCTCCTCACTGAACAACCTCCCCTCCTTAATGTCAGCAAAGTCCAAAAGTTTATTCCCTAGAATGAAAGAAGTTGACTTCAGAGACCCCTGTCTTCAAGCCCAACTAAGGTCCTATAAGATTGGCAGTTAGAATGCTTCCTTGCTCCCAAGAACTTCCCTGGAGATTTAGATCAGTCCCTAAAGATCCCTAAGACATCCAAGTTCTCGGGATCACCCACTCAAGGGTCTCAAAGGCAACTAGCCTTCCCTTACTCCCAGATCTTCCAGTCAGTTCCTAATCAGAGAGTCAAGGATCAGCAGATATCCAACAAAAGGCAGAGACTGAAACAAATATATTGAACAAAGCCATTTAGAGGACACACTGACTGCAAGTGCAGAAGAAAGCTTCACATAAGCATCAGTTCCAAAAATAAAGAATAGAGAAAACAGAGGACAGAAAATTAGCAACAAAATATTTCAAGAAAATTTTCTAGAACTGGAGGACATAAGTTTCCAATTTGAAAGAATTCACAATGCATATAAGTAGACACACTCCTGGGCACTTCATAGTAAAATATTAAAACACTTAGAACAAAGAGAAGAGTCTCCAAAATGTTAAAGAGGAAAAACCAAGTCACACAGAAAATCTCAGGAGACAGAATAGTCTCAGGCTTCCAGATAGCTGTGCAAGAAGACAATGAGCAATGCTCTTAAAATTCTGAATGAAAAACAAACAAACAAACAAAAAACAACAACAAAAAACAAAAACACACCTTTAATCTAAAACTCTATACCCAGCCCAACTATCACTTTAGTATGGTGGAAGGACAAAGATATTTGTGAACATGCAAAGACCTCAACAAAGTTATCTTCCATGCACCATTTATTGGAATTTACTAGAAGATGTGTTCCACAAAAATAAGAAAGCAAGCCAAGAAAATATAGGCTGTAGGTAGCAAAATATTCAAAGAAATTTTTCTAGAGAATTGCAGCTAGAGCTGCTAGGGTGATGTCTATAGACAGAATATTTATATTGGAGCAGGATGACTAAGGGTTGCCATCCCCACTATTTCTGCAGTCACTATTCTCTCATTTTATTCAGGTGAAGCTGGCTCAGATGCTTATTTTGACTTGGCTTGTCTTGACCGTGTACAGGTGAGGTTCCTGCTTCTCTGTATTAGTTTCCTGTGTAGTTGTAATAAATTATCACAAACTTAGTGACTTAAAATAGCACAGATTTATTATTTTACAGTTCTGCAGATCAGAAGGCCAAAGTGGGTCTCTTCATATTTTAACTGGGCTACAGTTAAAATATAAACAAGGCTACTTTCCTTTCTGAAGGATCTAGAATACATTTCTTTGCCCTTTCCAGCTTCCAGCGGTGGCCTGCATTCTTTAACTTATGGCCCCGTCCTCTTTCAGAACCAGCAAAGCTGGTCACATCTTGTCACATTAATTCATTCTGACACTGATTCTCCTATCTCTCTCTTTCACGTTTAAGGACTTGTATGATTATGTTGGGCCCCCCCAGAAAAATCCACGATAATCTCCCAATCTTTTTTTTTTTTTTTTTGAGAAGTTTTTGCTCTAGGGCACGTGCGCTCGCCAGACAGACAGAGACAGAGAGACAGAAAGTGAGAAATCACCCCCTGGGGGGATGGCCACGCCACCATCCCTTCTCCTCTATTCTCCTCTTGGGATCTTGGGCACACATGCACACATGCCCTGTGTGTTTTAAGCCACTGGGTCTGGGACATGAACTGCAGTCAGTTATATGGGAGTCCAGCGACATAGCCGTTATGCTAACTGCAGGTCCCGATAATCTCCCAATCTTAAAGTCAGCTGACTAGCAGCCTTAATTCCATTTGGTTGGAATTAATTTGCCTTGAATTAAGCTCACCTAATCTGGCAAGCTTAATTTGTTCCCCTCCCCCCCACCCTATGGTCCTCTGTACTGTTTTCTCCTCCTCTCCTACTTCATCCTTTTGTACTAGCCACACCGGTCACTTTTGCCTCACAGTCTTCACACTGATTGTTCTTCTATCAAAATGCAGGTAGCTTCCTTCTCACTCCCTCACATCTCTGCTCAAATGTCATCAGCTCAGTAAGGTCTTTCTTGCCAGTCTACTGAAAATTGTGCCATCCTTACATTTAGTACCCAACTTCTTTTCCCTCCTTTGTATCCATGACACTTAGAATCCTCTAACCTGTTATGTAAGGTTTTATGTAGCTTGCTTATTGCTGCCTTCCCCATAAGAACATAAGCTCAATGCAAAGGGAGAAAGGCTTCTGTCTGCTTCAGTCATTGCTGTTCCCTCAAGGCCTACCTATGGCTGGGCCTGGAACATGGTAGCTCAGTGTGTCACTTGAACGAATAAAAGACTCAGATTACACTGAGAACCTGACCTTGGTCAGCCCTATTTTTCACTGACTTCCTACTGATGCCTGTTGACACCTGGTAGGGCTGAAGCTGGACTCTGATCTGGCTTATCTGTTCTCAAAGCCTTCACGTGCCCAAGATGCTACTGCTTTTCCTTCCACCACTGGGCAAATACCAATCTATTCTCCATCTCTATAGATTTACCTATTCTGGACATTGCAAACCAATGGAATCTTATACTTCATAACCTTTCGTGTTTGTCTTCTCTTTCCGAATGTGGTGTCATTAAGGTTCATCCACGTGGTGGCATGCGTCGGTACTTCATTCCTTTTTGTGGCCAAATAACATCCCAATGTATGAACAGGCCACATTTCATTTATGTATTAGTAGCTGAATGTAAGATTTCTCATTTACTTTAATTATTCAAGCTTCTGCAGCTAGACTCACACCTTTAGGAATCTATATCAGGTGATAAAACTGTAAATCAAAACCTGCATAGCGGCGACCT